AAATCTTGGCAAACCCAAACCCCGAAATGAATGGCAAGGAAAGTGGGCAACTTCCTAGGGCTTCATTTCTCCATGGGACAGTTTTTATTTCATCTTATTTTAATTAATTTTTTTTCCAAAGCAGGTTGAATTACCTGGTGTTGCTAACTCGATACAATCTTCATTTTCTTTGTCGTCATCAAAGAATTCGCCAGGTTCAGGAGTGAAACCAGGGTCACAAAATACGTCATCGTCCTGAGCTTCGATGATGTCATTATAATCATCATCATCATCATCATCCACAATAAACATGTTTAGACTGTAGCCAAAGAAATTGTCAATATGATCAACACTGTGCAGAAAACAAGGCTCTTATTGAGAGAGAGCACCAGTAAGTTGTTTGGTACAATGTCCTAATAAGCTTTTATACCCTAACATCAGTATACACATTCTCCACACTATTCTCTATACATTTCATAAGGTGCTGACAAGGAGAATTTGGGTGAAAATCAAGTGATTCTTTGGTTGATGATCATTTCCTTTATTCTCATGACCTTAATGTGTGGTTCAAGGGTGATCATGTAAGGAGAAATTAGATGCTGGTCACCCTTTGGGGTCAAAGGGTTAATCCTGTTAGTTGTGTTTTTCCAACTGGGTTAAGATAATGAATGTTTAATCATTTGACTCACAATATTTAAAATGTAAAAAATATTTAAATTTAAAATTAAAAAATTTAACTTTATAATTTATATAGCACTTATTGCAAGCCTCTAAGTGCATTACAGTATTTAAACATAAAGTGCTTGAAAATCCCATCTGGCAGGAGGCAGACCAGTTGGCTATTTACAGACTGCAGCCAAGGAGTTGAACCCAAGGCGACAAATCCATTGAGTGGCAGGGTGGAGGACTTGAACCCAGGACCACCAGATTAACAATTCCAGCACCCTAACCCCTCAGCCACTCTGCCTCCACTCAACATTTAGAGTCATGTTCAATTGTAGAGTTAGTCTATCAATTGAGGATTGCAAAGTTCTGATTTTTATTCTGTTAGTAGTTGTTAAGTTGAATGATAAAACATTGCACCAGGAGTGATCAACCATTGCTATAAATAGCATTGTATTATCCCATCTCATTGCCAGATGAGAGCAAGCAGTATACCACCAAAACTTTGCAATATTCAATTTAAAATAATCCTACAGTTAATGGTAACTCTTGATCATGTGAAAAATGATCAAACAACTATTTATTGAGGTGTCTAATTATACTCAATTTGGATGGTAAAATAAAATTACTTTCAAGTAAATTATGGTTTGAATTATATAAGTAATCATAAACTCAATGATTTACACATAAACATATTTTTATTACCTTGATTCTGGTTTTCTCTCTTTTGCAAACAATCCTGATTGTTTGGGAGTCCGGATATTCTGTAAAACTATATAAAAAAACATCATTTTTTAAATTAATTCGATGTGTCTCAAGATGGCATATCAAAGTATGCCTGGATCAGATTCAGTAACAATAAGAATTCTTAAAGTTAAATGAAAATTTTCTTACACTGTTCAAAGTCATCTACATCATCACTTTCACTTTTCTCTGGATTATACTTGTTCAACAGTCTTTCACTTAGGCTAAAAACATTCAACAAGTGAGAAATATCATTTATTGTTAGTAATCCACTACCTTCATTTTTCCTCCAAAATGATAACTTGTTAATTGCCACTTTTTAAATGATTAGTAAACACACATACAAAAATTAACAATCGTAACATGCAAGTTGTCAAGTTGTTTCTAATACCTAGCTTTAACAGGACTGGTTTCTTCAATACTGCAGTTAATGGTACCCATGCTAGGGAAAAATAGTAAAAATGTCAGGTTATATATAGCAATGAAACTCAGGATAGAAAGTATTTTATTATTAACTCATAACTGAAGCATCAATGTCTGGGCTACGAACAGAGTAAGGTCATAAAAATTACTATATGTAATAACATGATTTCAAGTGCTTTTTCAAGACAGCAAAATTGTACAAGCATATAGGGCAAGTGCAATTTGTAATCTTTGAAAAATTACCAATACTAATTAACAACAATTTAATTGAGAAATCTTGTTATTACCATGCAATAATACACAAAAAAAAGCATCATCATCAGAAAGTCAAGACAGACAAAATTTTTATAATTTGCAATTTGTAATTTGCACCTGTGTTACAACTTTGCACTGGTGTTACAACTCTGTACTAGTGTTACATGAAAAAGGCACTTGTTTCCAGCCAATCAGAAGTGCACAATTTTTCATGTACATTATTACAAAGTTTACATGATAGCTTTCCTGTTACAGAGACTATGTAGAATTATGAGAGTAAAAAAAGGCTGTGCAGAAGATTTATTTCACTTAACCTGGTTTTAGCTTTGATTGATTCTTTTGATACATACCTTTCCCCATCAAAGTCGTCATCATCATCATCATCATCACTTTTTCTATCATAGTCACATGCAGAAGATATTGCTAAAACTTGCATTTCTTCACTATCCAGAAGATTCCTATCATCATCATCATTACACTTATCATCATTGCTTTTGTTTAAACACGTGTGGTCTTTGTTGTCTTCCTGACTATCACTGTAGCTGTCAGTGTTGTTAAGGGAGCTGGATTCTTGAAGTTTGGAGAGCTCATGATCAACACCCTCGACAGGACTGTAAGATCTATTGTTACTTTCAGAGCTGTTATTAAAACTGCTGCAACCATTTCTGCAAAAGTGGGAAAAAAAGAAAAGCATCAAGAGAGTCACAATGTTGCAAGTCTTGTGATAAAATTGTGCTCATTGACCACTAACCTGAGTGTGGTCCTGCTTAAATCTATTGACAAAGCACCTTGGCCTTCATCATCTGTCACAGAGTTTAACATTTCTGTTTTTCTTTTTTCTATGTTGTTGCATTGTACATCTTTATCGTCAACATCATCATTATGCTCAATATCGTCAACATCAGTGTTACTTAGTCCATTGTGGACACTATTGTTGTCACAAGGCTCATTACTGCCACAATGGGAACCAGTTTCATCAAGTCTGGACAACTCGCTGACTTTTGCAGGACTATCAGATAAACTGATATTTTCGGTGCTAACATAGCTGCAGTCATCCCTATTAAGACATAAAGATATTTTCTTTACAATGTAAATGGTCAGAAAAAGCTCATTCCTTGTAAAGAACTAACAGTGGGTTCCTCAAACCCTTGATGCAATTATAAAGAAGCCCATCTGGTATCTTCTTCTAGCAATTTTAATACATTATCTGGAAAATAGGTGGTGAGAAAAGGCAGTTGTAATGGCTGGAGGCAAAGGGTACATTTTTGATACAAAAACAAACATATACAATCTTAATATAGTCACAGTCACAGCAAACTCCCTTAACTTATTCACATGGTAGTGTCAAATACCTAGAGGGGAGAAATATCAATCCATTATTCCTTGAGGTGATAAACTTGTTACTTTTTCTTATAATATCTTTGCATTATCCACATAACAGGTAATGAGAATTCTCAGACTTATCAGGTAGAAGTTGTTCTCTTAATCTGACACCAAATTCTGATAACTAATCACTTCTGGGAGTGAAAGGGGTTAATAAACTAACTATATGATATAATTACGATCACGGTCAAATGCTTATAATAAAGATTAAAATTAATTACAGAATCAGTATGGAATTTCATCTTCACAAAATAAGCAAGAAAATTAATTTTTCTTGCCTTCATTTTACCTTGACTGGGACCTGATCAATTCCCTTGATAAGTTCCTGCTGCAACTGTCACTAACTTCCAAGGAATTATCTAAGAGAGATGAGCAGCCTTCCTCTACAATCATGAGTGATTTTGCTTCTATAATGTCTTCGTAATCATCCTTCAGCTGATCACACCTTTCAGCATTGTCATCATCATCCAATGCATCATCACTACCATTTCTGTACTTGAACTCATCATCAGCATCATCATTGCTATTTGTCTTTCCATTAGAATCATTCACAGTGTTGCCTTCCTCTCTGTTGTTATAAAAACAAGAATCCTCAACTTTGAAGCCCTCAAGGCTTGCTGTTCCGTTTGCATTCTCCAACCCTTCTTGAATGCATTGTTCTGTCATGTCAAACCCAGAACTGTCCCTCTCAAAACTGTGTTCAAGTGTGCCACTCATTAGATCATTGTTTTCAGAAAAATACATTTTTTCGCAAAGCTGAGAATCAGTTGAGGATTCTTGATTTACATTTGAGGTATTTCCTACAGCATCGTCACAGATATTTACGTAATCACTGCAGTCGTCTGCATCGTTGGAATACATGATCACGCTTGAAGTATTGTCCTCCTCCTCAATTTCTTTTCCGTGGTCAGAGATCAGACCAACTGATTCCGTCTTTGTAACAATTCCATCTCTGTCTCCATTTGATTGCGATAATTTGATCAGCTACGGAACAATATGAAATCATCAGAATGGATTAGACACTCTCGCAAATATTATAACACGTACAGACCATGATAAGGTGAAAGAGGGATATGCTACAGTACCGTACTCGAAATAAGCGATCAAAATCGGGAATGCATTAATCTACACAGCTGATTTGATCACGAGCTAGGAAGAGTCTTCTTAAACAGCTAGACCTCATAAGACACTTTGTAGATCGAAAAGTGTCAACTAAAGGTTAAAAGATACAATGGGCGAGATACTAAAACAAACATTTGCCAGAGGAGCATTCAATACGAAAAACTGAAATCGATTACGATTATTTAAAAGCTAAATTACCTTTTCAATTTTCCCACGCAAACTAGGCTGATCAAACCATCCAAATTTTATGCCTATGTTTAAAAATCGTTCCTCTACCAGTTTCTTCGTATACACTTCCATGATTCAACTCGCGATCGATCTCTCAAATCTTACTGCGAAAGTCAGAGGAACTACATTCGAATTTTGGCGCTGAACTAATCGGTAAAGCTGAAGACAGAGAAGGCGAGGTTACAAAAGATTGAGAGATGTTGATTGGTTGGCTGTTGAGTAGCCAAGCCTCGAGAAAAGTCAAAACAACATGGCGGTCTTTACTGCCTCAGCAACCCTTCCAGTTTTCAGAACAAGTTTATTTATGTTTAAATGCGTTTGTAGAAAATCACCTTTAGCTGATGAGGTGGTCCTTGCGCGCCACATATGCGGATCGACCATCAGGACTAGAACGACTTGGTTTGATCGTCAAAAAGGCTCTCAAAATTGCACCGCGCGACGCACGAAAGTAGAATTTGCGCCTGGACCTAATACATTCCAAAGAACTCAATCGACGTTTACAGAAAACAACTCTTCTCCTAGCACCAGGTGTACCCCGGAGTTCATTAAATTGCCGTGGGGTGTCCAACTAGGGCACTTCCAAGCAAAAGGAAGCAGGTACTATCATTCTCGACGGCGGCTGAATACGGCTAACTTTGTGGACAGTTGCCCTCCTGGCGCACAGCCGTATCTACGGTTGATTCGTCTCGATAAACCCATAGGAACATGGCTCTTGTACTTGCCATGCACATGGAGCATAGGGCTTGCAGCTCCCGCAGGCTCCTTACCAGATCTCAAATTGTTGACCCTTTTTGGAGTAGGGGCCTTGGTGATGAGAGGGGCGGGTTGCACCATCAATGACATGTGGGATGTTGACTTTGATAAGAAGGTGAGCAGGTGGAACAACTCTAGGGGTTGCAAGGAGATTTTCAAAGGTTTGACCTGATCTCAAATTCACGTCAACTCTTGTGATGGTCCTCAAAGTCTTAAAAGTAGTGCTGGTGCAATTTACTTTGGTTTTTGAAGCCTCAAGGAGTGAAAGTTCTGAAAGACTGGAATTTTTTTTCCAGCCCAGGATCTTGGTCGATAGTAGCTAGAATAGGTTAATGTAAGATTGTTAATGTGGAAATCTTTGTATAGGTCTGTGTGAATAGGGCACATGGAGTAAGCTGAGTTACAATAAGGTAATAATTATATGAAGGAGTTGTGTGACTAAAATTGTTAGGTCCCAGTCTAAGATTTTCAAACAGAGGTCTCAACATCTTGGGGAGACTGAGATTTTACCATTTACAGCTCCTGTGTCTGTAATGCTTGTGTCTCCCACAGGATGTCCTAAAAAAAATTCAGATAAAATCCTTAACCCTTTCACCCCCAAAAGTGTCTGGCTTATAATTTGTCCTTACAGTATCACTCTTGAATCAAATGTGAAGGTT